TTTCGTGTCGTAGTAATATGGCCAAAATAAAAACAGCCGTTATTCAGCCATCTTTGATCTGATTATGAAACACATTGATATGTATGATGTATGTGCCAAATACGAATGAAAAGGGTACATAAATTGTGGAAATATAGTAGTAAGGCCAAAAAGTCAGATGGCTGTCAATCAGATTTTGAAACAAATTGTCATGGACATGCATCCTAACATGTATAAAGTACATGTATGTGCCAAATTTGAATGAAAACTGACAGAGCATGTCCAAGATACCACATAAAAAAACAAAAACAAGATGCCTGCCAGTCGGCCATCTTTGATCCAATTGTGAAATAAATCATCATGGACATGTATCCTAACATGTATAATCTATGTACCAAGTTTTAATGACAACTGACAAAGCATGTCCAAAATACAACATTTTCAAAAAACAAGATGGCTGCCAGTCGGTCATTTTGAATCGAATCGCTAAACCACTGCATGTGTATATGTCCCACATAAGGTACTAGGCACATGCAAAGAATGAACGGAATCGTTCCACAGGATTCTGAAATATGACGTTGGATAGACTGACGCACGAACAGACGGACGGTTGGACGGACAGACTCAGGAACTCACGGACGGTCGGGGACATGTATCCTAACATGTATGATCTATGTACTAAATTTGAATGAAAACTGACAAAGCATGTCCAAAATACGATATTTTCAAAAAACAAGATGGCTGCCAGTCGGCCATCTTTGATCCAATTGTGAATTAAATCATCATGGACATATGTCCCACATAAAGTACTAGGCACATGCAAAGAATGAATGGAATCGGTCCAAGGGATTCTGAGATATGACTCCGGACGGATGCATGGACACACGGACGGACGGAGACCGAATTATAAGTCCCCGTTTTTGGACTTCGTCCGAACGGGGACTAACAAGCAGCCTGTCGGCTGAGATAGCTCCGCTGTTATCAATGCACATTGCAATTAAAGAACAGAAGACATCATTAGAAAATGAACAATATGTATAGTATCAAAGCAATCGGACTTGCTGTTTTCAACAAAAATTTGAAAATATAAGTTTTTATCAAAAATATTCATTAAAATTAGATATTTGAAGAACAAAATCATCATGAAATGAACAAATCTGAGAGAAGTCTACCTGTAGTACCTATGCAGTATATTTATTATCAAAGCAATTAGACTTGCGATTTTACCAAGAAGTAGAAAATATCACTTTTTACCAAAAAATGACAAAAATATTCATGAAAATTAGAGAATTAAAGATATCATCACAAAATGAACAAACCTGAGAGAGAGGACCACATGTAGTAACTAGATATGTAATATCAAAACAATTGGACCATAAAATGACAAAAATATTCATGAAAATAAGACAATTGAACATATCCACACGAAATGAACAAATCTGAGAGAGAACCACTCAAGGTACCTTCCTAGAAAGTTTCACAGCTATACAATTTGTGGTTTTTAAGAAGAAGTCGAAAATGTAAAGTTGACAACGACGACGGTAGACAATCAGTAATAGTATAAGCTCCACTCAACTTCAACGACAGCAGAGCTAAAAACTACACAGGTGAATATAAGAATAATGATTTAATACTCACCATTCTAAGATTGCCAATAACCTTAACCCTCTCCATACCAGTAGATAGAGGGCGGTAGCACATTTCAAAAAATATTATACCAAGGCTGTATAGATCAACTTTCTGATTGTATGTAGTTTTAGTTTTAGATTTAACATTAGCTAATTCAGGACTGACATAGAGAGCAGTACCCACTTTTCCAGTCAGGCCCTCACCTGTCATGAATAAGAAATTAAAAGATCAGAGAATTGTAATAGATTTACCAGTAGGTTAACTACGTTGTTGCCAAAATAACTCTACTTAAGGATGCTGTACACGTTTTTGGTATTGATTTTCTAAACTTATATTTTCATATAAAATATTTACTGAACAACACAAAGCTATATATTGATGGAAAGCTTATTTCACACTGGATATGAAATCGACAAGATAGTGTGTGTATGGACGTGTATAGTCACGTGATCTCTGTGTAAACACAGAAAGCCATTTTCGGTAAAAAATAATTGAACCAATGAATAAACAAATTTAGTGGAACATTGGCAACAAAACAGTTTTTCAGACGACTCTCACCACCATTCCGTGTTAATTGAGATATATATCTACATGATAGTTGGAGAAAAAATAATAATTTAGCTATCTTGAAAAGACAATGCGATCTGGTTCTTTCCGGTATTCAGAAATTAGAATGTAATTTTGAATTTTGAAACAAATAGGAAAATAGAAAAATCCCAGCGCGGCTTGAGAGGGAACATATCGAAGAGTGTCTGTGCGAAAAATTAGTATAATGCGTCCACTAAAACTCGAGATCAAAGGCCTGCAGTTGCCGTGAATCGCTGTTTTGTTTAACCGAGAAAATGGCAAAAACAACTTAGCTAACTCAAAATCCGTTTGTCCCATGGATCAAAACAAACTCATAATGAATAGTCATGGATCTATCTGTCATAATCACGCAGATGTGTGGATATGCGTGGTCGCAATTGGTTATAAAGTACGAAATTATGCTCCTGAATCCAATAGGAAACACTGTTTCACTGTTTTTATTATTCATTAATACGTTGTGGGAGGAGACACTCCTTTTCTGGAAGACTCATTACCATACATTGCCCTCCATGGAAGGTCATTCTCTTGCTCAGCTGCTGAACCAATAGCCGTGGCTGAACGCACCACCAGAGTCAACTACATGTAGTTTTCTTTCCAAGATTTTTTTTTTTACTGTGCGAGATGTCTCGACGAAGATCTGTATTATCTGATTTGAATGGTAATGAGGGGGAGAGAAGTCACAGCGAGCGCTGAACTGAATCGGGAGATGCGATCGCTTAGGTTTAAAGTTGTCTGTTGATCGGGCGGTGAATTTTCAGTTTGTTTGCTCCGTTATTATTTTGTTGATTTGTAAAATAACCTGTTCGCCATAAATCGTGTTTTCCGTTTTTTAGTTCCCAAAACTGTTGACAAAATTAGTGTGATGATTCTTTTTCCATCTTCAATGCGTAATACATAGTACCAGAACAACTGCTGGCGGGGACTACTGCCGGTATCTTACATTCAGTTCACTTTCTATATCATGTATAACAACTCTAACTTCATTGAATCCGTCAAATTATTTATTGAGAATGTGAAGATTAAGAAAAATAAAACGGGTAAAACAAAGATGCTCACACACACGCTTTTACAGCTGCTTGACTCGTGCTTTACGTGTAGCCATGGTGTAGCCAAGTCCGGGCCCAAGTGTTTCACTTCCGACTCATCATGACACGTAATTTGGTCACGAAAACTAAGTCTGCCATGTGCTCAAATTTTCTACCTTCTGTTTATACCTCCATGGTCTGATCAATTAAATCGTGGAAGGTACCTTCCATGATTAAATGTTCATAATAATCGCTTTACATACTGTCGACGTTCTTCTCCAAATTTCCTTGCATTCATTTTCTTTCGTCACTGTCATAGTCGACCCAAAGACGGTTTCATAGTCGACTGCTTGAAGAGCGAGAAATTCAACGAAATTAAATTTGTGGATGATCGTAAATGGAATGCGTGTAACTTGTACCTCGGACTACTAATACTTGTATTACTAGTCTGAGCTTGTACTGAATGCACGAGACTGTTTATATTTGCTATGGGTGGTGACTATTATGCAAATTATCTGTCTATTATGGTTTTGGCTGATTAATTAAAACATGGCTTTCAAAACAATGACATGTGCTTTTGTTTTTAATTAACAAAAATTGATTTTTACACCCTATAAAAACATCCAATTCACTTGTTTTCCTACTGAGTGTTTGCTCCTTGTAGTCCAGCATTGAAAAATACAAAAAAGTAGAATTTTGGGTTTCAAAGCAAAAAAAGGTGTACAGCATCCTTAATACACAACTGTTCAACTCATCTTATACCATAATAACCTTTTACAGAAAATGAGAATTATTTACTGCAATCAAAATTTTTAGCTCAATTCCAATTGTCTACATAGCATATTATCAAATTGACTGACAGTCTGTAGCAATGACAGGATCAATAACAATATAGAAATTTGTTCAGCCAGGACATTACTTTTATATTTACTGTCTTCAGGACGTTACTTTTATATTTACTGTTGCCAGGACGTTACTTTTATATTTACTGTTTCCAAAACGTTACTTTTATATTTACTGTCTCCAGGATGTTACTTTTATATTTATTGTTGCCAGGATGTTACATTTATATTTACTGTCTCCGGGATGTTACTTTTATATTTACTGTCTCCAGGATGTTACATTTATATTTACTGTCTCCTGGATGTTACTTTTATATTTACTGTCTCCAGGATGTTACTTTCATATTTACTGTCTCCAGGACGTTACATTTATATTTACTGTCTCCAGGACGTTACTTTTATATTTACTGGTGAGAATTTATGCAACATATTTGATAGTAGCAATATAAACAATTTGTGGGAATTTTTAAATTTCACAAATCAGCCTTTTCATAAGCATCCGTGAATGATGGCAATTGTTTTTCGTCCACCATCAATTTTCACACAGTTGAGCTCCTAGATTGATACTTTCTAATCGTGTTTTGGTGTATCAAAATAATTTTCAATTTGGAATTACTGTTGGTCACAATGATGAATATTTCCCACATACATTCCTGAATAAGCTCATATAATGTTCCCAAATATGAAAATTAAACCAAATTTATGTTTGTTTTTTTAGATTTTCAGTATGACATTTACGTTGGCCACACAGCATCTACCCTACCAATAGTTCAAGTAACTAAACACATACCAATGCCTTCTTGAGATCTTGATCCATCTGGACTTGTTAATGTATGATCTGGTGTTTGACCCTGTCTTTCTGGGGTCAGGGGTCGTTCAAATGCCTGGGTAGTAGCCAACCCAAAGTCACCAATCTTTACATTGTCATTTAAATCCAAGAATATATTAACTGGTTTTAAGTCTCTGTGAATCATGCCCTGGTATGAAAAATTACACAATACTTCATTAGATACTAAACAATGTGTAGCTATATGAGCTATTCTGTGTCATGAAAAACCTAATATCAGAAAATTTAAAGATATCCAGTGTATCAGAAATGACTGAAATACCATCACAAAGACAAAAGAAAAACCCAAGAAAACTAATGGACCCACAGCTGAACAATAGTGGGCAATACTCATGTTTCAATAAGACAACCTGCTATGAGATAAAGCTTTGTGAAAGCAATGTGATTTAAGAGGACAACTGTTGTGGATGCTTTCATATATAATGCAACATTGTTTTGCCATTTCCAATATTCAAAAATGGTATCAGCATCAAACAACATTCTGATTGAGTAATGGCATTCTTAACCAACCAAGTCACAAAGCACAGTAGCAAAAAACTTGAAAAACAACTTGGCAAAAATAGCACATTGATAAAAGTTTAGAAACAATTTCGCTCCATGATAAAACAAAAGTTGAATTTTAAATCTATATTGGCATGACATTGCAATGCTGAATAATAAAGCATGATTGTAACGAGTAGCCTTTGTTTTGTGCATATACTGAGCAATGATTTGACATTGTTTTACCTGTAAGTGTATGTGTGTCAAACCTTCCAGTATTTCTCTAAATAACCTCCATACTCTCTTGTGATCACTGAATAACCCATCATCAATACTATTTCTCAGTGTACTCTTTTCACAGTACTCCATCTGAATATACAGATACTGGATTCCTATCACCGATATCTTGCTACCATTATCTTTATTCTCTACTTTTTTAGATTCCTGTAATACAAAGTGTCAGACAATGAAATCAAACTAATATACATGAAGTTTTAAAGTAAAATTGTATCCACAGTTGATTGGCCAATGTAGAACATTACAAAATTATTATGGTTATATACCGTAACCTAGTTATAGCATGGTGTTTAAGACCCGGTAACTATGAATATGTGTCAGATTAACTACTAAT